GCATGGTTAAGACATCCGGATGCTTTGCATAGTCAACGTCAGGATTCTCGGCGTGCAGCAGATGTCGATCATCTGTAGGCATCTTCTTGTTATGGTAGGCCTGACGCCAGTCATTTTCTCGTAGGGACTGATCATCCGCAGGCTGTTCTCTCTGCACACAAGGGCCTTCACTTGACTCGGCGAACAATCGCTCTAAGCTATAGACTTGTTCGTTATTGGCCTGACCGGACTCTTCTCTTTGGATTTCACCCTTGGAAAATGGAATACGCTTCTGTTGTTCAGACCCGATCGTCCAAGCGCTCGAAGAAATGTGTATGGAGATGCCGGTAGCGTTAAGAAAGTCTCTGCCTAGCACTATGTCCCTGCAAAGGCCTGGCATGTAGAGGAATCGCTGCTTACGTGATCCCCCTGCCCAATGCACTCGGCATCGTACGGAGCTTGTTGTCTGAGACCAACCGGCTGCAAGACGAAGGCAGTGCTGCTCTTCTCGAACAGTCGCTCCTCGAGCCACCGCTGTCGCAATAGCTGCATTTCCTGCTAGACTGACGCTTGACCCGGTGTCCAGGAGTGCGCAAAAGATTCTGTCCCCTATGCGAAGCTCCAGAAGCGGCTCTTTTCCACCGGCTGCTGCAGCTACCTGCACTGACATGTAGACGCCTGCCGGTGCGGCGTCTACTGTCTGCCGTTTCCCGGACAACTCGCTTGCATATGCCCGGGCTCGTTGCAGCGAAAACAGCGAGGCCGGCCCCAGCCCCGGCGCGCGCTCGTAGGGCACTGGCGTGACATGTGTCCCACACCCCCGCACCGGTGACACTGTAGCTGGCGATCATAGCTGTTTTCTTGGAGCACGGCCTGCTGTCGGACTGGGCTGCCGAAACTGCCGAAACCCATCTGGGACGGTGCTACGCTGTGAGCCTCGACAGCACCGAGTTGGTCCCTGTAGTACGAAGGTTGCAGGGCCGCCGGATGCAGGCACCAGGGGTACGCGTTTGGAGCAGCGAGGGTGGGCGTGGTCCAGTCTGCTACACTCTGATCCGTCACCGGAACTGGACGAGTCACTGGCGTCGCCGTTCGAGTCACCGGAACTAGGCGAGGCACTGGCGTCGCTGTTCGACTTTGGAACACCAAGTCCCGGGCTACTTGGTTTGAGAGTTGGGGAGGGGGTACGTATTGGAAACGTCGCCACACGCGCTCCATTAATCCATCGGCAGCGTCGGCGAGTTCCTTGAGCGTGGCGAAGGTACTTCCTTCAACGAGATCCCGGAACTGCGGGTGCATCTGTCGGAGTACCCTCTCCACCTTCTGCGCATCTGTCACAGGCTCGCCGATCCTGTCGTAGTAACTGCTGATGACATATATGAACTGCTTCAGGTTTTCCTCGGGGTGTTGAGTTCGTTTCCGCAGTTCCTCTTTCAGTCGCTTCTTCTTGTCCACCGGCGCAAACTGACTATGGAACGCGGTGACGAAGCTGCCCCAGCTTGTAAACTCCCCTGCGAAGCGAAACCACAGCTTGGCACTTCCGTCGAGAACTGCGGGTACGACACGGCTGATGCGATCCTCTGGCTTGACACCCTGGATTAGGCAGTAACTCTCGAGCTTCTCTATGAACCCTTCTGGTGACTGTAGATCTCCAAAACCAGAAAACCTGGGAGGCTGGGTGGAGATCCACAGGGCATGCATGGGATCTTGATCGGGCGCTCCGTTGGTCGCAGTGACGGCTGGCGTTACCAACGGAGAGGGTAACAAGGGCTGCAAGGGCTGAGGCAACAAAGGTTGCAAGGGCTGAGGCAGCTCAGGGTCGAGCTCACCATCTGCAAGCTCGATGGGCGCGGCAATCAAGAGCTCGCGTATGTGGGCGGCGATCTGTTCCCGATGGAGCGCTGAACCATCCGTTTGCTGCATCACCGTACGGAGAAAGTCTGGCGGTACGAAAAGCGGTCGATGAGACATCTTATTATCCCGGACGAGCCCCCACTTGTCAGGTTTCAACGTCTCTTAAACACTTGCTCTAAGACACCCGCAAATCATGGCCGCTCATTCCAACCGCCAGAACCAACTGCCCACGAGCTACCACTTCTTTCTCCTCAACCCGGTGGCTCGGCTGTGCGTGGCAACGGTCGACGAGTCTCGTCGGCCAACCCGATACCTTACAGTGCCTGCCACTTTTAAAGTATAAAGGGGCAGTTTATTACACTCCAGTTGAAAGCCTCTGCGGTCAGTTTCTGCGAGCAAAATTAAACTTTTCTACTCGAAGGGACACAGATTTCTCTGCCATTAGACAGGGATGCTAGGTACCTCCCATGTCCCCATGGAGCTCGTCTCGCGACGTAAAAATTTTCCTGTTGGCCGCAACCGCAGCCGCGAGATGAGCAAACCGCCCCTGGGGTCGACGAGAGGCCTTGCAGAATTTTCTGGAAAGGTCTACCGAGAAGGCTCGCTTTTACAAAGGACCAAAATTGGCCCCCCCGCGACACGCTCCAACAGCGGCCACCACTTCGCAGGTTCGCGCACCTACCTGGGCATGGACTCGGCCAAGGCGGCCCACGAGGCGGCGAGGCGCCCCTCCGCCCTGCGGCTCACCTCCGGCCTGCCGGGGCACACCGACTGGGCCGCCAAGTGAAGCCTCGCTTCCCTACCCCGTCTCACTACCGGCTGCTTTCCAGTTGAGCCCTCGCAAGGGGCGCTCTCACGCGGCGCTCTACGGGGCGTTACCGAGCGCCCTTCGGTCGTACAAAACGTTGCCGACGACCTTTGTCTCTAATGTTTTATAATTAGGGTTCCGGTATCTGACGGTAAACCCCGAACCCCCGAGCCAGTTGTATCAAAAATAGAAAAAACCCTGAATCAAAGCTTTCAGAGAAAGACACGAGGTCTTGGGAAAGAAATTTATCGCGAGCTTTCTTCGGTGTTCGTTGGCCACTCGGCCTGCACCCAACTCTTTGCGAGGCTTGGTGAACCCTCATCCTGCTTCCTTCTCTCAAGGTTCAAAGTGGTCACACGTGCCTGTCCAGTACCCAAAATAGACGCCCAAAAATACCCAGTCCGAGGGAAAAAATAAGCGCCTCAGTAAACCAACACCGGTAACGCGGAATCCTACCTATAATATGTGGAATGCAGAATTTAAGGGGCCGATTGTTCGAATTTGTTTAATAAGACTCGTTGTGCTAGTTGGTGGACGAGGAAAAAAAAAACAAAAAAAAACTCAAAAGCCAGGTAAACACGCGGTAAAAGTTAAAAGGAAGGAAAACGGCTCGTCTCGACGGTATAAACGGTTCCATTAAATCTTTTGTCTCATGGCAGGAGACATCTTCAGTATATAGGACGGAGCATCTGGGGAAGCGGAAGCAGAGAAGGGTAGGAAGGAGGTGACATGAACGCGTGCATGCTTCAATTCGGGCCATGAATTTGAGTGGTGCTCAAATGTAATGACTATAGGTTTCTTCGTTGAAAACGTGTTATGCAGAAAGAAAAACTTTCCACTAACTCGATCGTGCCGAAAGACCGGGGAGCACAAAATATGTTGCGAATGAGTCGAGCACACGGTGCGTTGCATCACGAGGTCGCACGACGTGACCTCGTGACATACACGGCTTCATGGAATCGCTTGACCTCGCGCTGTCGAGTCCATCACGAAGAACCGACACAAATTGTTTGCGACGGTTTTTGTGGTAGAATATGGCTGATAAAACACACTGTGTGTTGAAACAATGGCACAACGCACGCTCGGGTTTGCTGGATATGTTTTAGGGTTTTCTCGGAGAAGCTGAAATAGTAGTCCAACGCTACAACCAAGGTGAGGAAAGGAGACCAAGCTAGCTTGACTAGAGTCATCTGGCTTGGATGGGAGGTGGGATGGGGTGGCGAGATTTCATGTGTCAGGGAGCGAGTTTGTGACCTGCCTTCTTCGTGGTAGGTCTTGTCGGGGGTCGCGAGTTTCAAAGAAGCTTTCCTGCGTTTTACGTGCTGCCATCTAGGAGTAGCAGCGTCAACCAGACGCTTTGCTTCCTTGTTTCTCCCCCAGTAGCCCATTTTGCTCGCTTTTTATTTTACCGGAAATCTACGGATGAACGAAGAGCACAATCACTGCACCACCTAAAGACATCTTTGTGTTTCATTGCACACACGCTTATTTACAACCTTTTTTTTAAACCGAATGGCGCTCGGTAACACTTTGTAAAGTTTTGATACTAAGCACCGCATTCAAAGCACTTCTTGAATGTGGTCCTTGCGTCCAAAATGCTTCCGTTTGCCTGCCCTCCCAGGTGTTCCTAAAGGAGGTCATTTCGCAGTCTGTCTCTGCAGTTCACGTCGGCTTTCGGGGTAATCCGGAAGGACCTCCTCCTTTGCAGGGGGTGGGGGTACCCAAAGCAGACTCCTTGAATCTGGCTTACGCATTCGTGAAATTGATGAGGGCGGGAGTAAAGGCCACATGGCAGCTGGTATCAAGACTCGAACCAGCCCTCCGTTTTGCGAAATGGCCTCTTCGACGAAGTGTTGTGCGAGTCGTCCTGTGACGAATTGGCCAAATGGTAGACTGCTCATCAAATGTAAATGGAACCCGCACGTCTTATCTCGGGGGGACGGGGGGGCTACCCTGGCGCCGGCCGAAGAATGGCTCGGTGAAGTGGCACTCGGTGGAAGCAAGGGAGGCTGCTCGATCGAGGCCAAAATCAACGCTCGACTGTGGACACCGCAATTTCGACGGCCTCCAATGCACCATATTGCGACGGGGTGGTGAAAAGCGTAGATTGCCGGCAGGAAACATTTGTGCATTGTCCCCGGTCTAGCCTCGATATTGGTCTCGAGCGCCTCCTCCCTCGGACTATTCCAGCGAATGCTACGTCGTGGAGCGGCTCTTCGGCTGCCTCCAGGTTAACGCAGTTTGTGTGTTCTATACATTGCTGAAGGCTCTCCCATCCAGACAATATCTGGAATGTCCAGACGATAAAACGAGGCCTGTTGTCGGCGGCAGATGCTACTCGTCTCAATTCACCTTCGTGTACTTGTGGGCCCCACCCAACATTTTTTTATTGACGGTTTCCAAAACTTGCTTATAACTTTTGATTCTAATAGTAATGTGTAGTCACAAAACTTTCATATCTTATTCAAACCCTTAGTGCAACATTCTGGGGGTCCGGAATTTCTTCTGCAATGCACCGTTTATTCTTGCAGTGCACAAAACAGTATATGTGTTTCCCGGGCAATACCCTAAAACGGGAGTCGGAAACCTTTTGCTGCGGCGGGCCGCGTCATCACGAAGTCGACGCAGTGGGGGCGGACAGCAAGTCACAAAGTGGGGGTAGGGGCAGGCAAAAAGGAAAACGATCTGCGCAAGAAGAAGAGGATGCCGGACAATGCCTGTCTAACCCCATTTAAAGTCAAACCTGCGGTGTGATCTGTGTGAGGAAGCGGCAGGGTCTAATGTCATGCCAGAGGCCGCCGACATCTCAGTTTAGCAGAAAAAATGGTCTGCTATTTGGCCAACTTTGAATACATATAGTACACGAGCTTTCAACAATATAGTGGGCGTATCTGGACCAGTCACTCCTGGCACTCTTCGGAAGTCCTCTTTGCAGCTATGACGATCTATAGGGGATGCACTGGCACCTATCGAAATGGCCATCAACTGGATGATTAGATTCTGGGGGAGCTTCAAAACGGTTTCAGAACGGATAGACGACTATATGATAACTTATTCGTAATCACTCAGTGCATAGAGATAGCAATGACAAGTCAAGGGCCATTATGGGTAGCATTTTGGACATCAAAGGGGCATATGACAACGGATCAGGAAAAACTCTGGGACCAACTGAAGGGATATGCGCTAGGGGGAACCATGGTTGGTCAAGTTTCTAAACGAGTTTATATGGAGAATACATGGTTATAACATGGGAAGCCGAAACTACAAGACCAGCAGCCATAAAAAGAGGAGTTAGACAGGGTTGCCCATTGTCTCCCCTGCTCTTTATGATAAACCTCAGTGGGATTGAAAAAAGCTTAGAACAGTACAACCTAGGTTTTCACCTGGATTACATGGAGGAAGGACATAAAGTAAACCAAGTATTGCCAGGGTTAATGTATGCAGACGACATTGTACTTGTATCAGAAAGTCGTGAGACAATGCAGGAGCTGATTAGGATTTGCAGCAGGGAAGGGGACAGTTAAGGCCTAAAATTCAGTAGGGGCTAATCGGGTATAATAATTTTCAATGACGAGAAGGGGGAACCCCTGGAGATACGGGACACGGTGATAGAACACATAGAAACATACAAATGTCTGGGAGTATGGCTAAGTGAGGGAAGAAAGTGTCTAAAAGAACATGAAGATTTTCTAATAAAGGGGAAATGAGATTCAGCTGTTATGAAACACAGGGCTTCAATCTATAATAGGTATGAAGTCGTTAGGGGTGTATGGAAGGGAGTCATGGTGCCAGGACTGTCATTTAGGAATGCTGTATTGTGCATCAGGTCATAAATCTAGGCAAGTTTAGAGATACAGCAAAGGAGTGTGGGCAGGTTGGCGTTGGGGGCACATGAGAAGACACCAAATGAGGGAGTACAGGGGGATATGGGTTGGGCATCTTTCGAGAGTAGAGAAGTGATCAGTAAACTTTGAACAAAGACTAGCTGAAATTGAGGATATACGGTGGGCAGCGAAAGTGTACATCTATATGTGAAAAGTCTAAATACTAAGTGGAAAAGCCGAACCTGCAAGCAGAGATCTAAATATATTCAACGAGATGGGGAAGATCAGAGCGTATAAGTAGAGAAGCGAGTAAAGGAAACGGTGAGGAAATTGTGGGAAGAGAGAATGCAGGGGAAATCAGCCTTAACAATATACAGGGCACAAAAACAAGAAATAAAGAAGGAACATTTGTATGATAATTCAGTGGAGAGCTCGTTGGAGGCTGTTTGAAGCTAAAACCAGGGTGCTAAGAACGAAAACATATAGGGCTAAATTCCAGGAAATAGAAAACATGCAATTTTGAGGTGCACGGGGCGTCGTCCCACCCTCTTAGACGTGGGGATGACTATGGATCTGGAAGGGGCACTGGGATTCGCAGACATGGATGGACGAATGGATAGGGAAAGAATTGCGGTAGGAGATTGGAAGATGGGTGGAAAAAATCTAGGGAGGGGTAAAAATGCAGATAAAAATAAGCAATGGTAACACTTTAAAAAGAGGGGGGGGGGAGGAGTAAAACAAAATGTATACAAATTTTAAAAGAGAAAAGATTACAATATGTTAGGCTAGGTGGCCCAAGCTGCACCCATTACAAAGGGTATAGCTACTACCGTCCATCCGTCCAGATCGTAGAACAACAGTTGGTCTGAAGTAATCGTTAAACACGGGCAAAGAGCCTTACTGCTACTTTCACGTCGGGAAGGCACATGCATCTCGACGACCATTCGGGAGGACTAGGGAGGCGGGAAGCTTGAGGAGAAGGAGCAAACTGCTGAGGATGTCCCAGCTTGGTTAAAGAAATGCTCCCTTTCCGGGGACACCAGGCTGCTTGGAAGGCGTCTCCGACTGGCGCACGTCCCAAGTGTTGACCCAAAGGAAAAACGAGAGATGTTGCAGAAGTCGGAGCGTCACTCTGGTGGACGCCCCAATATCTCGCCAGCTACTTTGCCTATGCCAGCACCGCATCGAGGGAATGTCTCTCCGTACGCGCGACAACCTCACCGTGTGAGAAGGCACGCGCGGAGCCTCCTGCAAACTAAAGTTATGGCGGCTTCACGCGTGCACCCAACGGCCGGCGAGATCTATCTATCTTGGCGGTTTGTCTTACAAGTTCCCACAAAAAAAGCGGGAGAGAATGTGCGTGTTACCGAAGCTTTCGAGGGAGTGTCGAGCTGCGAAGGGGCCCGCGGCAGAACGGGCGTCTGACGCATGTGCCAGTGCCGTGGCGGAGAACAATGCGACGTAAAAAGGTGCAAATCGGGGCGACCACGCGATGAACACCAGTCGGGGATGTGCTCCAGGCACCATTCCAGTGGCGTGGCCAGGGGGAGAGTCTATGGGGTTTCGGCCCCCTCTTGAAAATTCAGCCGACCTTATAATATATGTGTGCATTTTGACCCGACCCCCCCCCCCCCGCACCTAAAAGTGGGACATCCGAGCCACCTCGACCCCTCCCAAAAAAATTCCCGGCTACACCACTGTGCCATACTGGTAGAGTGCTTTTGCGTTAAAGTGGGTTTGTTAACCGGGGCTTTCCGTGCAGGTACCTCAAGTGACCGGGCAGGCCCCACGTCGTCCGCAGGATACGGAACGGAACCGGGTCGTGGAGAAAAAGAAGAATAAAGCGTCGTTATCAAATGGTGTCTCATGTTTGGCCAACATCAAGCACCGAGCTTAAAGTCGTCGGGGTGGTACATCTCGCTGAGGAGCCGGTACACGTACGAGGGCGCGTTGCCGCCGGAGTTTAGTACCAGCAGGGGTACCAGGTCTGGAGGCACGTAGTCGAAGGCCGGCGCCACGAGCTGCACGGCGCTACTGGCCGTCTCGAAGGGTGCCACGCGCTCGGGCGACCCGAACCGCTGGAAGGCCTCCTGGTCCTCGGAGCACAGGTACTGCGGCGTGAGCTTGAAGGCGGGCGCGACCACAATGAGCGGCACGGCACATTGGCGGGCGGCCAGGGCGAGCGCATGGGCGCCGCAAGGCGCCTTGAGCCCTCCGTCGGCCATCACGCTATGGGTGCCGATGATGACCTTGCTGACGCGGGGCATGATTGCGAGGACCGCCGAGTCCGGCACCACGGTGACCCGGATGCCAGCTCGAGACAGTACCCTAGCCAGCTCCAGGCCCGAGAAGGACGGCGCAGACTCTGCGACCATGACCTGGAAGGTGCGTTGGGCCGCCGCCCGGCGGAGGAAGGCTTCGACGGTCCGGGAGCGCCCCGTGGTCATGATCACCTGTCCCGAGTGGATGTGCTCGAGGGCTTGGGCTGCGATGTTCTCGCGGCTCAGGGCGAGCTCGCGCTCGAGTTCGTCCAGGCTCTCGAGCAGCCGCTCCCTAAGTTCGGGCTGGGGCCGGCTGTAGTCGTCCACGGAGTCGCCCTTGGCCGACACGAGCTTCTGCAACGACTCGCTGTTGTCCCCTTCGACCTGTCGGCCGCAGCACATGCTCGCGTAGTCGTCACGAACCAGCTTGAGCACGCGGCGGACCACGTTTCCCACGGCGGTCTCGGTGGGGTCCACCTGCATCAGGGCCCTGCCTTCCTGCCGCAGCAGGTCGAGGAGTTGCTCGGCCACTTGCCAGGGTCGTTCTTTGACTAGCTTCACCATGACTGCTAAAGTGAACTGGGCCACCCGGCTGGACGTGTCCAGCAGGCTGTGGTCGGCGCCGTCCTGTTTCAGCAGGTCGCCCAGCTGTTGCACGTCGGAGATGTCGCTCATGGTGTCTTCACGCACGTCAGCAGCTAGGCCATACCAGCAGAACGTACAAAATGAACCGTGGACGCTTACCTCGGTGTCAGATTTCTTGCAGCACGCTGTGATTAGTGATTACTACAATACTGCGACGTTCAGACAGCGAAGGCAAAGGTCTGTCGACAGTGTACCAAGTGTACCAAATGTACTACTATGGTGCCCGGAGCGCGTCTTCGACTGGTGTGTTGAGCGTCCCATCCCGCCCATACATCAAAAGTGGTCCCAAAGTGGCAACAAATGACGTCACAGAAACTTGAGTGTCATGTTGTTGCCTGTCGCGATCCTGGCGGTTGGTCGCAGAAATGCTGGCGAAAAGCACGAGTGAACGCGAGTGTCGCTGTCGTCACGGCGTCCCATCGTCCAGCTGCTTCAACTTCTGTGGACTGTCAAAGTGGAGAGAGACCTACAGCAAAACAGGCGTCTGCTATACCCAGCACAACTGTTGAGACGCCGCCAGGTTCGCAATCAGTGATAACATGACATTTTAATGACGTCATCAGGCGGAAATCGAGGGACCACTTTTTTGGAGGCGGTAAACACACCAGTCGGAGACGTACTACTACCCGTACTACCAGTGCCCGGCTACTGCCATTAAAATCGATTTCTGAGCAAACTGGACGCTAAGCAGCGCTTCCGTGGTTGGAGGCGCTCATTACTGCAACGAATTGGCGACAAATTGTTCTATCAATAGATTGCAAAACTAAAATAAGGAACAAAAACCATGTTCATAAAATAGAGCAATAACGTTTCAATTGACTTTCGACGTCCACCATCTCCATAGAGATCGTACATACTAGGGTGGCTAGAGAGTTGGGTGTGTCGAGCGCGCCGGCTCTCCCATGCATCGCCGCGGCCGGTTTGGAAAATCACCGTCAGGGGCGCTCTAGTCAGCGTGTATGCTTATGTATGCTTAATACTTTTCTGTAAAGGGCTTCACCCAACAGTTAACAGTGACCGGGCGGATTTAATCAAAGCATTGGGTTTTAAAGACAGTGAAGGAAAAATAGACTTTACACGGGTAGAAATAACCAAGCGGAGGTTATCAGACTGGTGGCTAAAATCGAGGCAGGGGTGAGATTTAATCTTGGAATTCAAAACATATAATTAGATTTATAATGTTGGCTAGGTGGCGCAAGCCACCGCCCGATTCACAGGGTTTAGCCAGATCCATTTATCCATCCATCCATGCTAGGCGCGCGCAGCTGGCGCGGGGATTTGCGTGCGGCAAGGCGGGTAGCGACGAATTCTCGCCCGCTTTCATCTCTTCTTCAGCGCTCGTGTGAATTTATTTCAACCGTTCATGCATGCCCGTCCGTCAGGTGACACGTGGAGACTATGGACGTTGCCCCGTCAACCTCCGGCGTAAAGAAAAAGCAGCGAGCGAAGCACTGCTTTGTTCCAGGATGCACGACAGGCTACAGGTCTGCAAAAGAAAAACACACGTTGTTCGCCACCCCGAAGGACCCAGTTCTCTACTCCTCACTGGGACAGGAATATTCCGAGGGGAGACACGCATCTTCAGGAAAACTCCGGGGTGTGCGCACTTCACTTCGACGAGCGGTACATCGAGCGATACTTCTCTAAAATATCGCTCGATCCGTTCCAGATATCGCTGTATGAGGGGTGTTTTGGGGTTAATAATAATAATAACAATAATAATAATAATAATAATAAGTTTATTCGCAAAGAAAGCATACATACAATTTACTCAGTCTCACAAAAACACTTGCGTGCTTGTGCGTGAGTACTTACTCACGCACAAGCTCGTAGCGTCCTGCTGAACACGTCTGCGGCCAGTGTTGGGAAGTACTTTAAGCGCATTGTACTTAAAGTGCTACTTAAATTAGGTTTAGGAAACTTGTACTTTACTTGAGGTACATTCTCTGAGTACGTACTTGTACTTAAAGTATTCTTTTCTGCTACTTTCCGAGGAAAGTACAATTTCCGACTTCAAAGTGCATTGCCCAAATTTCGTTTTGTTAAATTTGTATCACGTAGTGATGCCTTGTCAACTCTGAAGAAAAACTGGGAGGGATATTCCACTCTCACCAGAAACGTGAGCAGACGACGCATCGCCCCGTTTGTACTGGGAGCGGCTTTCCCGTAGGTTTTTGAACTCTCGCTACTTCTCGGTCGGTCAGCGCAAGCGAGGATGTTTAAAATATTAGGAGAGAAAAATTAATCATAATGTAGCACCTAAGTCTGTGGTGCGAAAAAAAATAAATTTCCATGTCGACGTATAAGAGGAAACAGAGGAGAACGTTGGTTTGAGACATTCTCTTTTGCCTTTTCCTTCTATTTGAAAGTTCCGTAATTTTTTTCGCACACCAATCGCAGGTGTCACATGATGATTAATTATCACCAGCACGCTTGCATATTTATTTTTGTTTTATTTTTTTATTAAGGAGAGGGCATTTTTCTATGAGAGGATTGCTTGCGGAAGCTACGGTGCTGACGTCATGCTCTCTCCTAGTACATTTAACCCTCTTGGGTGAAACAATCCAGTGCAAGGGGCGCCAAATTCAGAAGAGGGTCTTCTGAATTTGGTTCCATTCCTGAAAAAAAAAAAAAAACTACTCTGTGGTCGCTTGACTTTATCAAATATTCGCCGCTGTTTTTGAGGTCATGCTCCCTTGATTACCCTAGGGTAATGCATACCAATTAAAAAAATCACTGTATAGGGGAATGAAAGGGCATCATGAAAGATTGTGTTAAAATACTTGTACTTTACTTTGAAAGTGCATTGTATTTATAGTACTTTACTTCAAGTACGTTGCTCCCAGTGTACTTAATAATTTACGCGTAAGTAAATTATTAAGTACACTGGTACGTTAATGGGACGTTATAACGTCTCATTTACTTTGTACTTTACTAGAAGTACCTTTTAGATGTGCTTTAACCAGCGGTGTCTGCGGCCTTATTTTCTAAAATCCGAATTTCGGTTCAGCGTTCCTTTAACCTGGTTGCATGCACGTAGCAACACGACTGTATGAAGCTGTTCTTTCGCACAGAGCTACTTTATACCATGGACTCTCCATAAAAATTTCCGTCGCAATGTCACAATGGTGTCCACTTTTGTTGATGGCAATTTTTATGCAACGACATAAAAATCTAGCGGAGGTGTCATCATTGGACTGTTCGGTGTGCCTCGGTATAAAAGAGGTTATATTCGGCCAGGCTAAAATATGCTTCCTCAGACTCAGGCCGTTTCTGTCCTTTGTGTTCTGTTATAGCCCGTTTGAAGTTAAGTGACCAAAATGCGACGGTACTTAATAACTGTTTGAGGTACTGTCATTCTTGTCCTGATAGACTTCAAAGCAGAACGCTGAATGCAAGATATGCCTTTTCATGGAACCATGATAGGGTATGTTCATTCTCAGAGTGCTTCTGGGTCTTGCCAATGGCTGTAAAGAACCTCGTTGTACTTTGATCCTGTGTTCCTATACCTATGTCCTGCCTAAAACAGCGTGATCCCGACAATCAAACTGCAGTCATCTGGTGAGGAGGCACAATATTTTTGATCAATCGAAAATATGTCTTTACTTACTGAAGACAAATACGATCACTACTGCTGTCTGGGTTCCCTTAGGTCTGCTCTAGAAGCAGCCTTGAAAACCTGTTCACGCATGCGGCCGAAAATACCCAGGACAGCCTTACGATGTTCAGTAGTGTTGCGATTATAGTGCGGAAAAGAAGGTACACACGAGAAAGATATATTTGTTTCCATGTGGAAGATCATATGCCATAAGCCATTTCGTAAGAGGGTTAGCACAAAAGTAATGTTTAATTGCTTTTTCTTGAGAATTTTTAATTGCCAAAGTGACAATTACATTGCCTATTCCTGAATATTTCGTTCAGGAATGGTTCATGTAACATGTATAATATGTTACTCCACTCACTCTCTTTTAAAATCAGTTTTTTATTTCATTGCTAGCTTTCCACGTTGAATAAAAATGTAAAGTGTCAAAAATGCATTGTTTGCTTTGTATCATGACAACTTTTCGCGTTGTTTCTCGCCAGCCATGTCTGCTCTTGAATTACAGGGTAATTGCACCAGAAGTTTCCGGCTAAGTGCCTGCGCGGTTCAGCGTCGACTCATTTGACAGCCGTGACACAGCGGCTTGAAACGCGAAATTTCGTCACGGCTGCTGATACCTCGGTGGACGTTTCACGTATTTCGAAAACGTAGTACACGAAAAAAAAAATAAAAAAAAGTTTCCCCATTTTCCTATACAGTATTACCTTGGAATCAACGCCTCCGTTACGCGAACGAGAAGGTTGCGGTGAGAATAGAACGACTTCAAGTGCGCATTTACCTTCGTCGACGCTCCAAAATCGGGTCGACTATCGAATCCAGGTTTATCACACTTTCATTATGCCACGCCAATTAATTCTGTAAAAAAACATAGCCGACAAGCGGCCGCGTAAAGGTCCGCACGCACCGCATTTCGGTCCCAGCGCAGCCAAAACGCAGCGATCGGATAGCATACAGGCCTACCGAGGCGCCTCCTAGCGACAGATGTTCGTTTCGGTGCCGCGCCAGCCGCGCGCCGGTATAGGACGCCGATCTCACTACCTCTCCGCTCCGACTACGGTAGTGGTTTTGGCGTACGCCAAAATCAATACCGTAGTCATTTCGGCGTACGCCATAGTCAATACCGTAGTCTTTTTCGCATACCCCAAACACACTACCCTTACGCCAAATTCAATACCTTGAATAACGTCGGTTGAGCAGGGGTTGAGCCAATACCACCTAGAACACAAGGCCTGCGCATAGGGGTGTCGCGAACCGGCCGCGGTTCGAGTTCGACCAGGTTCGACTTTTTCGAACTTTTAGTGGAAAGTTCGACGAACCATGTATTGAGGTTCGACTCGTGTGCGCATGCGCGACAGGCTGGCCAGTTGGCTTCGGATTGGATGGTAATGGCTAAGAGATTAATTAAGTGCAGTGCTGATTGGCTATTTCAGTTAATACAGTACTAAAAATTAAGTTATTAACTTCTTCGGTGATTAGAATTAGTTTCTTTTAATTGCAGCTGTTCACAAAATAAAATAGCCCTTTGCATAAAAAAAAATTCTCCAAACCTAGACATGCTTGTATCAAGGGCTGGCCACACTGTCCACAAAGTCGAACCGGTCGAATCTGGTGAAAAGTTCGAAGGTTCGTCGAACCGGTTCGACCCAGTCGAACCCCGAAAGTTCGACCAAAAAATCTGGT